GGCAGATTGGCGCCTATACAAAAGCTAAGATAACTAGTCAAAGCTCCACCTGCTTCAGGAAACCAAGGTCCGGAAAAGTTTTGAAGAAAAGGGAGCATTCGGTCTGTTTTCGCTGTTTTGCACAAAACAATTCAGGGAAACATTGTGGAATTGGACAAACCATACTATTCTCGAAAGTGAAGGTACAAAAATGACAAAAGAAGAATGGAATGCGTACATTGGATTAGAGCTTGCAATGAGTCTGACCAAACAAAATGAAATTTCCGACTACTGGAGTGAGAAGCCGTTTTTTGGACAAGTTGACTTTCCTAAAGTGATGGGCCGGACTCGTTTCACTGACATTCGTAGCAAAGTCACGATATCGTCACCGTCAACAACGACCCCTGAACAAAATGATCGAGATCCGCTTTGGCATTCGAGATTTTTACTTCGCCATCTGCAAACCCGATTCTCTGCGATGGCTGTTCTGCTCGGGGCTTCAGCGCTCGATGAGACATCCGTTCGTACTACTGCGCGAACAAAGGCTAAGTCGTTGAAACCGGATAAGTACGCAATTCGATTCTACATTGTGGCAAGTTGGAATCCGTTGTATATACACACGTTTTGGGACAATGGTTCGGGACTGGTTTCACCTCTTTCTCCTGCTCAACGTTACGTTCAAACATTTACCGCCCTACGTACGCCATTACTTGCTGTTTCTCGTCGACCTGAAGGTACCTTGGATCTAAAAAAAAAACCGTCTGCTGTATGGGTGGCCATGCTAGGACACCAGACCCAGTCCCAGCGCTCTCCAACCGGAAGGCGGTTAGTTGTCCGTGATAACTTCTATACCCGCCATGTTCTTGCTCGCGCCATTCAAATTATGATTGATGGGGAAATACGGATGTTAGGCACTGTTCGCCTCAATCTTGTCGATGCCTGGAATAAACCGAGTCTTCGAGAAGCAATCAAACGTGTCCAAGATGCTTCTCGTGGTGTTTGGGAGCTGGTTGCAGCTATCGAACAGGTGCCAAATTGGAGAGAGCTCCAGGAAGAACACGGAAAGTCACAAAAAAAACTAGGAAGAATAATCGGGCTGCGTTCAAAATGCCGCTTCAGTTTGCTCCATGCACCGGTTACGTTGTCTTCAAAGACAAGAAAGTTGTCATATTCTACACGAATGACTTGGCTGATTCGTCAACGTTACAATTTCAGGGTCCCGACAATGAAGAAGCTATTCGCGTTCTGCATGGGCTACAACCTTTGAACCGATGGATTGGAAATGAAATGATGCACAGGAGTGTTCTAAAAGTACCCTCAAGTATCGTGGCATTCAACATATATATGAACAGTTTGGACCGTGTGGGCCAAAAGTTGAGCACCAACAGATCGCAACGAAAGGAAAAGCGGCTGTCCATGACAATGTTTACGTGCGCACTAGACTTATGCGTCTTGAATGCCTACGGGCTGTTCTGCTGCCTTGAATGCCAGTCTGGAATGACGATGCGCGAGTTCAAGCGCAGGGTAGTGGAGGAGTTGA